GTGGCTGCGCGGGGGGGCAGCGGTTGAGCCAGGGCATCGCTCAGAGGAGGAAGAGGTACACACATTTCGACCGTTTTCCCATTTTGGGGCCTGCTGGGAGGCCTTCGTCACCACCGCTAGATTCTCTTCGAATTCCTGGTCAAAATCCGCGAAGTAGCGGTATCGGTCATTTTTGGGTTTCCCCAATCGCTAGATAACATTGTCTCGCAGTTCCCACATTCAAGCAGCGGTGAGGCGTCCTGGTTTGCTGATGGGCCCACCAGAGTTTGTCTACCAACAGTGCTGCACAAAATGATATTTGAGCATGCGTGGTTGAGACCGTCTTGTTGACACATCGGCAGCCTTATGTTCTAAGCGCATTGTTTCTTCTTGATCGAGCATTTATTGTTCTCGAGCATGTTGTGGCAGGCCCATAGAAAAGCCAAGACGGTCGGTCCCTGCTCGACTGCCGTCCTCGCGCCTGGAGAAAAAGTAACAACGGAAGGTCCGCCGACAACGGCGCGTGAACAAGGACCGTCCCCCGGGAAGAGATATGTATGAACCTCTGGGGAGCAACGTTGCGAACATAACCACGACATCGGATGATAGGTCCAGTTTCGCCCCCCAACGCCATCCTCTCCCCCCCGAAGCATGGCCCCACGACGCACAGGCGTGCAGCAACCGAGAGCGGACAAAATGCTGTGGCATGCGCGCCGTTGCCCACGATGCACGACCATAGCAGTACTGCCCACTCCCACAGTCACTGATGCCGTGGGGGTCTTGGGGCGAAGGGTCCGAAATGTCAGGTCGAGTTCCTTCTCTGGGATTTCTTGGATGGGGCCCTCATGAGCTTCTTCAGGCATAGCTGGGGCCGCTTTAGTGCGCTCTTGGCGGGTGTCGGGGCTCCTTATGGGGCCGCGCGGGCCGATTGGCATCGATGTGTGGGGCCCTCTTGGGCTGTTTTGTGCGGCGTTCGGACCACAATGGCAGACGGTAAAAAGGACGGTTTTTGTTCAGAGAGTGGGGCGTGTGTTTGCTTATCGGGTGTTCTTTTGCAGGTGCTCTTGTACGCTTTTTGGGTCGCGTTGGGGCCATCGTTGTTGGTTTGTGGGTCGGGGGGGGCGCCAGGGCATCTTGGTCCATCTTGGGAAGTAGTGGGCCATGTCGAGGCCATCTGGTGCCGTTTGGGAGGACAGCTAGGGCAGCAGTCCCACACGGCGACGAGACCCGCAGGGGTTGGGGGGCAAAGGGGTCGAGCAGTTGGTCGAGAGGTCCAGTGGCCTGCGGGTCGAGTCGATGTGACATCTCTGGATTTCCGTTCGCACCATTTGAGTCGATTGACGTTATTCCCCCGCTCCTTCGCGCAGCCGCACGTATTCTCCGTTGGGCCGTGACGATGGCTAGAAAAGGCAGCGGGAGGTGACACGCGCAGTGCACCAATCCATATCTCGATGCCCATCCTTGTCCACATCCTCATTATCTTTCTCCTCCTCCTCCTCCTCCTCCTCCTCCTCCTCCTCTCCTCCCCCTCCTCCTCCTAGTCGGCGTTGGAGGCTTAGGCACTTTGAGAACCGACGGCGAAAGGGCTTGCTGAAACTCTCTCGCAACGACCGGCCCGCAATCGCACGGGCCAGAGAGGGAGTTATGGGGGGCATGGCGGATGGATGGCGATTGCAGCACTCTTGACATGGACACTGATGAGGCTTGTATTCTACAGTCCCCTTGCAGCGAATACCACGGACAGATAGGAAGAGATACGCAGTGCACTACGAGAGTGGGATGCGATTGTACTGACAGGGACACACCAATGGGCTGGGCCACAGCCGATGAAGGAGAGGAGCAACAAATATCATGCGGCTGTGCAGGTCGGGGCAAACAAGGGAACATGCATTAACAAGTCATGTGGTACGACGTTCATTATTTCCAACGGGGTGATGACATACAGGGCCTTCCACACGCAGTGTTCGCCCCGGCCCAACTGGCAGGGTAGAGCGGCATGTACCATTTTGAGGACAAGAGCGCACGACGTCACAATATTTTCAGTTTTTTCCCGCCAGACACAGGGCACACGAACAATGGAATGATTTCAAACCAATTATGCAGTGGGTCGAAAAGAAATGCGACGAAACGGGTGGCAGATCTATAATCCGTAAGGGCGTCGCCCCATGCCGCCGGCCCCCTGTTTCGGATAATGGGAGATGCAAAGAGCTAAATCATGAGGTCTGGGCGCCGCCGTGAAGCAGTGTCGGGACCTGTTTGTTTGTCGACCCTGACAACGCCGATCTGCGTGAGGGGTGCCACCGAATTCAGGAATGTTGCAATCCCTGTTGTTTTTCTATTGACCCTGCACTGCGGATCTGCGATAGGAGTGCCACCGAATGTCGGGAATGTGGCACGCCCCCTGTGTTTTTGGACCCTGGCCCCGCCGATTTGCGTGAGGGGTGCAACCGGATTTCAGATACGTGGCACATCCCTTTGATTTTGGACCCTGACCCCGCCGATTTGCGTGAGAGGTGCCACTGGATTTCAGACATGTAGCATTTTTTTTTTTTTGTGTTTTTGGACCCTGACCCCGCCGATCTGCATCAAGGGTGCCACCAACTTTGAACAATGTGGCACATCTTTCGTGTTTTTGGGCCATAACCCCACCGATTTGCGTGAGGGGTGCCACTGAATTTCAGCAATGTGACACAGCCCTTCTGTTTTCGGACCCTGACCCTGCCGATCTGCGTCAGGGGTGCCACCGGATTTGAAAAATGTGGCGCGCCCCTTGTGTTTTGGGGCCCTGGTCCCGCCGATCTGCGCGACGAGTGCCACCGAATTTCAAACGTCTGGCAAATCCCTGGTGTTTTTTTTTTGACCTCGCCGATCTGCATGAGGGGCGCCACCGAGTTTCAAACATCGTGCATTTTTTTTTGTCTTTCTGAACCCTGACCCCGCCGATTTGCGTGAGCGGCGCCGCCGATTTTTGAAAATGTGGCGCGTCCGTTGCGCGCTTTGGACCCTGACCCCGCCGATCTGCATGAGGGGCGCCTCCGGATTTCAGAAATGTGGCAAATCCCATATGTTCGTTGACCCTGACACCGCCGATTTGCCTGAAGGGTGCCAGTGAAGTTCACAAATGTGGCAAATCCCTTGTGTTTTTGGACCCTGGCCCTGCGGATCTGCGCGAGGGGTTTCAATTTTTACCCCCCCTCCCAGATTTTCTGAGAACGCTCCCAGGGCGCGGTAGTTCCGCTTGTTTGAGCCCCCCCCTCGCGCGTTCATCAACAAGGAACAGTAAGCAGCAAGAGGCAGAACTGCAACAGTGGAAACTGGAAGCTGCAACTGGCACAGCGAGCAGCGCACTCCCGGCCTACAGCCTGGTGGCCCCGCAAGGGGGCCGGCGGATCATTGTGGGAGGGGACATCAACAGCCAATTGGGAATGCGCAGGTCAGACAGCAGGGACCCGGTGGTCAGCAGGCGCAGTTCGAGCAAACATGCAGCAGCATTGGGGCCAATGGCTAAGGCAGCGGAGAACGACAATGGCGCCACATTCAGGGCACTTTGTGTTCACAGCCTACTGTCGGAGTTCACGACTTTCATTGAGCGTGGGCCTATTTGCACTGCGTGAAAAAACGAGCAGGTGATGTCGAGCAGGATAGACCACATTGCAAACCGACGGGGGCACTTCCCCATGCGTGGAGGTGCGCAGCATTGAGAGGAGCGGCAAAAAAACTGCAGACGATCGGAGCGAGAGGGCACAGAGACCACATCACACGGGGCTTGGATATCGGATTGGAGGACCCATCCCCTTATTCGGGCAATCACAGGCAGCAGGGAGCAGACATAGAGGTGGAACGCAACATGCCGATGGTGCGCCCGAGGAAAGGTCGACTGAGAGCCGAATTCTCGCGCGCGTTCGGCCGCCGCCTGCAGGCCGCCCAGTCGCAGCAGCCAGGAGGAGCATTAGCGAGGTTCTCTCGGAGTGCGATCCAGGCTGCGCCTCCAAGCAAAGCGTTTGCGAGGTTTTCTCGGGTCGCATCGCAGGGGGGGCCCGTTGACCCCCCCCCCCAGGAGAAGCATTGGCGAGATTTTCTCGGCGCGCAACTCGGGGGGGGTCGCGGCAGACGAAGCCTGGAGTGAGCTGCAGGAACCCCATGCAGCAGATCTGACGCGGGAAAGATGGGGTGAGGCGGGCAGAAACGCTATCAGAGAGGCTTTCCCGATCAGGAGGAATCAGGAAGACAAGGGGGGTGGCCGCATTCCAATCACTACGACACTCCCTACTGGCTGAAAGGATGAAGGTAAGAGTGGGCATGGTAGGTTCTAATGCGCAGGGGAGATTGGAGGAGATCAAGCAGGAGCTGGCGCGCACGCAAAATATGCCATGCAAACGCAGGGTAACTACAGCGAGATGCGCAGGGGCAGGGTGGCATATCAGAGAAACTGGGGAGGGCCAAAACAAAGACATCATGTCTCAGCGCGGACTTGGTGGAGCACGGGGTAGTGGCTTACTGAGCTGGGCACGCGCCCCCATGGCGGGGGCTTGGCAGCCGAGCCGATGGACCTGGAGGGGCATCAGAAGGTGCGCGACGAGATGATTGCTGGGAGAATGCCGCTTCCAGTGGCCACGGAGTTGAGAGCGCCAGCGAAGAAGGACAGGAGAGACACGCTAAAGCATTTCAGGACAGCGGCAAAAAAGGCGAGCTTACCCCCGCGGGGGGTGCCAGTAGAACTAACATGGATTACCTGGGGGGCCCCGAGCAGCTGAGCAAAAAGCTGGAGGAGCATGATGCACGAGCGGCGGGGGGGCGCGATGACGAGGAGGGCTCGGACAAGCCCAGCGCGCTTTACAAATGCAGGGTGGGAAGGTCCACGCTTCAGAAGATGGGTTGGATATCAGGCGGAGCGCTGGGCAGGGGGGGGGGGGGGGGGGGCGACGGCGAGGCGTGTGGGGCGCAGGGGAAAAAACGTGGCACCTGGGGAGATACGAGAAGGCTGGACTGGGATCTTCGGCAATGGAAGAAGAAGCAAGCAT